CACACACACACACACACACACACACACACACACACACACACACACACACACACACACACACACACACACACACACACACTGCATTTCTTTATTTCATAGCTTGGTCAGTCTAACAGGAGCACAGAGACTCTGTATGTGTCTGAGGCAACACTACACATGACTGCAAGCTGGAGCCACAGCGACAAACGTAGCCACATGGATTTCTCATATTTACACACTATTATTAAGCACTCTATCCCTCAGCTACACTTCCGCTCCTTGGCTGTGTTAGGGAGTGGAGCTTCTCTCTGAAATGCAGCTGGATTTGCCAGCACAAAGCATTGCTTCTTCTTTGTTATCTGCTGAGGGAAGGCAGACAACAGCAGCTGGAGGCTGAGGCTCTGAGAGGACAGAACAGAGTCTGTGCACACTTCTCCTGCCACTGAGTCTAATGTGCTATTTTCCCTTGGCTTGGAGAGCATGTTCCAGAAGTCCTGGAATGCAAGTTTATGATAAGACAAGAGCTGGTGGCAGGAAGTGATCTGGCTGGCTGTCTTTTAAAGAACCAGGACGTGGACAGATTTGGGGAGTGGAGTAGTGGGGGACACAGCGAAGCATGGAGGGGTCACACCTGTCCAAACTCTCCTCCGACTGTGAACCCCGCACTTCCTCCTGCCTGCACTTCACTGTCCGAGCCGCTGCTGACAGCTGCCAAACCGCCGCAGCACCCCCAACAGGTCCTCGTAGGAGACGTCTCTGTGGGAGGGCAGGGAGCTGAGGACAGAGCAGGACAAATCAACCAACATTCAGAGAAACACACTGCCATCTTCTTTTCATGTTCAATATACCCATTTTACAAAAAGACCCCCTGAAGCTTCCATCTATAACTGTCATGGCTGTATTTAGGGGACGCAGCTCACATGAACTCTGTGAGTCTGATGTGCCAGGGCAGGAAGCCCAGCGTGCTGTTCACCGGGCCAAACTTCACCACCAGCTCAGGGTCTGGGACGCTCTTGGATTCTGAAACAAGCACAGCATGTCATCGGCAAAGCACAGTTACCCCGGGAACCATGTACGTGAAGCCTGCTTCATTTAAGTACGTCTCCTCAGGAAATGATGAAGAGGGGCTTTTACTAATATGTGTGCAGACATAGAACTCAGGATTTAGATATGTTCCCTACACTAGCATCACAAGCATATATTTGTGAATAAGTGTATTGTAGAGCACAGCCACATAATAATAAACATGCTATAATAATATATTAATAATAGAAATGTTATAACCCCAGCCTGCGGGGAGTGATCAGAAGTGTTGCAGCTGGCGAGGAACCTCTTCCTTAATGGACATTGGACCCTTTATCTATCATTGAGTAAACTGAGGACCCTTGACTAATGTGACATATTATATTTTGGGCATAAAAATAACCGTAAAGAAAGACTGAGAAACTGTCAAATTAAACCTAATAATGAGTGCAATAGCTGAAAATAGTTTATATGAGACGACTGATTTGAATTCATTCCGAGCAGATTATTTCCTGTCAATATTAAATCAACTCTTTTTTTATTTTATGTTTGTATTATATTATATATTATTAATTTTAACATGGAGCAATCTTAAAAGGCTTATTTTTCTGTCAATTTCAGTGGTTTCCTCTCCCAATATGTTCTATTGATCTTTGGTGGTTCTCACTGCATCCTTCTCTAATTCTGCAGAGGAAAGGCGCTGGGAATCGTATCCTTATTGAAAACAATTCATCTTAAATAATGATTCAACCCGACTTTATGCTGATGAGGAATCTTGCCTGAACATAAGAATTCATCCCGATCATGTCAAATACATATTTTTCCAACACTGGACAATGCATATTCCATCAATGAGGACTAGATGAGTGTCTTGCCAAACGTTACGGCTGGTCTGGCAGCATACAATTCCTTCATCTGTTCAACAGGTCAGTCTTCATCACTTTTATTTTTCTGTACATAAACCCCTTTATAATGCAGCGATACTGTTCCCGTCATGGAGGGTTTCCCACTCAAGGATTTCTGAGTAAAGACTCAAGTCCATATAGGGCTGCACTATATGAGTAAAATATGTCATAATGATATTTTTCATTTGTTTTGAGTGTAGGTTGTCATATCAAGATCTGCATAATATTGTACTGTTTTCATACCATAAATAACTCGGAACACAGGAAGCTGAGAGACGTCCATACACAGGACACATTCACGGAGAGGGACACATAAAGACTGCAAATACAGGAAGAGAAGACTCTAGGTGCAGGAAGTGTCCCAGGGACAGTGATGCAGTACCTCGGAGCAGCAGGTCCAGCATGGAGACGCTGATGTCTCTGGAGCTCCTCTCTCTGTTCTCCACAGAGCGACACAGCTGCTGCGCCGCCTGCACGATGCTCTGCTTCCCGTCCTCTGGAGACAGCACCTTCACTGAGGGCCGGCAGGACACCACTGCACGGACACACAAGCATGATGTCACAAAGTCAAATCTTAGTCTGTCTCTGGCATCCGGACTCCAGGGTTTGCTGCTTATATGTGTATTCCGCTTTCTCATGTGAAATACATTGGAATAAAAATAAGAAACGTGCCCTCTACCTTAAAAGTGCCATAACACATGAGCTAGATATATCTTTAAGAAGGAAGTCTACTAATGAACCTGATACTAATAAATGAAGGAATCAAGCTTGGATGAAATAGGCATTTTATGGAGTCAAAGGTGGAGAATACATTCTAAAATGAAGCTAGATATGACCATTAGCCTCTTCATTGGAACAGATTTGTTCCTACATTTTTACTCTGGTTTGATGAACAGAATAACGTACATGCAGGAGATAGAGCCCCCAAAGCTGTCCAATGAGACGGTAAAGACCCTAAAGATTTATGTTATAGAGAAGACACTGGGGCTTTGCCCACTATCAGTCGAGCAGCAGAACTCTGGGGATTACGAGTAAATGATGCTTTAACTAAGGCTGTTAACATAAATGAGTCAAATTAATGAACGAAATAATCACATTACCAACTCACACCATTGTGCAGGGCAATGCAAAGGCAAAGAAATTAACTGGAGACCGCTGGACCGTAGCAGTAGTAGTAGTAGTAGTAGGAACACGTGATCCATGACTCATGTACTGCTCTCCTTCACTTCAGGCAGGGGGGTAGGAGGTAAGACACTCTGCCCAGTTTCTTGAAGTTACGCAGGAATGTGACATTCAGCACTGCAGGAACGGATAGGGCTGCAGTGTGATAGCAGTGTTGGAGCTGTATGAGAACAGGAAGTACTGTATCTCTCTGAGTTATATGGAGTGGGTCCAGACAGCCCTGTGAAAGGGGGCCCAGTTATGGGCTCACCACCCAAATGGATGAATAATGTACAAGAGACACTGGACCACAGGCTAGAGGAAGGACACTATAAACCTGCTCCACCTTACCCTGACCGTCAGAACACACTACCCCAATGCAATACAACTGAAAAACTTTGATGAATCATCCAGATACCATTTTATGGATGACATTTAACTAAACTAGTTATATGAAACCTATGGATCTGGCAGTGTCAGTTTCTGTCCTTGGTGTCATGGCAGAAAATCCTGGAAAATGAGTCTAAGAGGAAAGCAATACTCTTGTCCCGGTATTCATCCTATAGAATGACTTTTATTGAAAACTGGGCCTGTAGTTTGTGTTTCCATCACGTTCTTCTCATTGTACATTCTAACAATCTCCCTACACATGAAATACAGCTGGGGTGACTTAGTTCCAAATGTTTGAAGAGGTGGTATCAAACAGTCAGACGTTTTATTCAAGCCTGCACTTTGCTCTGTAAATGTTGTGGCAGTTGTATGCGTATGCGTGCAATGAAAAGGATCTCTTTAGCCCAGAGTCTGCTCAGAAGACCTTCGTATCACACTGGAGCTTTTCAGATGAACGAGACCGTGCAAGCTTCTGAAACAGACCTTTAAAAAGCCGACATTCTGCCGGTTAACAGACAAGGTTACCATATTCTTAAGTATTTTTTCTTTATTCTTTTCCAAAGACAAATACAATCACATTTAAAGCATGTCTAGTTGCATTTTAAGATGTTCCAGCTTACAGCTCTGGTAAATGACAGATGTATACATACAGGGCTGATTATTGCAATTTCGATGTTATTGTGATATGACCAATACAAATGATGTTTCATTGCCTAATGCAAAAGAAGGGTGGCACATTTAAGCTTCATGTTTCAAAATCTGTCACTTGTTTGTAAGTGGACTTAGTATCTTATACACCCTAGGTGCAGTTTCAAGCACTTTATCTAAAATCCAAACCTTTGAATCCAGCACCCATGGGAATCCTCTCATGATCCTTTATCATGAAAGAGAGAAATAACCCAGGCTTCAAGACTGTAAAGATACATTTAATGTAGTGCCGGGGCGCGCACCCCACTCTGAGAAACACTGCTTTAGGGGCTCCGAACGATGCGGACGATTCTGCATCGATGCAGGAACATAATCGATTATAGCTTAGTAATGTTGCTTCCAGATTTTCCGGCCGCAGCTTTACAATAACGTTTTTTTTTCTGTCACTTTAATATCAAATCGGTCGGTGACGCAGAGATCAGGGAACAGACGTGACAGCGGCACAGTAATACCAAACACGGAGCAGTCTGCTTTATCCACCAACACAAGAACACCAGTCCAGAACCAACAGCAGAAGGACCCGCTCTGAATCACTTCGTGTCGCTGCGGCTCAGAGACACAGAGATTTATGTTTTTCAAAAATAATCGCGTTACAATCATGTCAGGTTTTTGGTGGATTTAATTAAGTCTTGGATAGCAGAGTATGAATGTCCTCAAGCAATTTTCAGACGATATATACGTGTGTAAAGTTTGTGAAGGCAGGAGGAAAAAAGCTTCCGCGATCACCGTCTCCTCTCCGTTCCTCCAAACCCCGCCTTCTCCCTGAAAATAATGAGTGACAGGCTGATAGTAACCTGATAGAAACGTTATTATTCACTTAATCACTGAGATATAATGAAGCTAACCTAATCTCATACATTCATGGGATTTATGTAACAGTAAGACAGAGAATGTAAGTGTATGCTATTGTAAATACTCCTGTAAATACTCCTGTTGTCTGCTGTGTTCAGACTCAAGTCCTGTGTGTGATGCCACATTCAGGACATTCAGTGTCCTTTTTTTTAACAGAAGACTGTTGCTAGAAGCTGCAGCTAGACTGCAGAAGCATTATTTTTTTGTTTTTGAGGATGGAACAACTTCACACTGAAGGATTATTTGAATTATTTGAAGTATTAAAGTAACGTGTTATGGCAGGAAAGTTCAATCTGGTATATTCATTTTAATGTCACCTTATATATTCATGGGTGTTAAATTTGAAAGTGCATTTTTACTCTTTAAATAATAGAGAGGGTTTTCATATATTCCTGAAACAATGTCCCACTACTTAGTAATAATAAATTAAAGCAATAGTCTTTTCTTCCACTTTTCCTGTGTAGTCAGAAGGGTGGTTTTATGACCTTTGACATCTGCTTTGCAGTTCCCAGCAAGGAAGGGGCCCTGAGTCTCTAGCTTCCTCTTCTAATTGCTAAAACCCGTATTGATTAGCCCAAAAGGGAAGATGTGCCTCAAGATACAAGACAGTCTAAAAGTCTTGTAGAATTAATGTTTATCTCCTACACATTCCTGCAGGCCTTGAGACTTGGGTCACCCAGCAGTAACAGATAAACGTCCTTTTGAGCTTATCAATAAAATGTATTCATTCTCCTAGTCTAAGCGCTGACTCTTGGGGTGGGGTGAAGGGAAGTTCAGGAAGCCATTTAAGCCCACAAGAACAATTAACTTCTGTTAATAATCAACCAAAACTCATGACTTTCAGGGGACAGGACATTCGGACCCTATAACAGGGTCCACTTCATAGAGAATAATGTGCGTGTATTCCTTACTGCGTGATCATATGTCCTGTATAATCATTTATCGACTATTCCTGTATTGGTGTTTTTATTTGATTCCTCTGTGTTTAGTTTTTTCCATATGTGGTACTCGAGGCTACTAAACATTGTGGAGAAAATTAGCTTAAACATGTTTTATTATCTCTTCATAGGAAAAAATGGAAGGCAGCTTTTATAACAGGGACAGAGAGAGCTGGGGGAGGGGGACATTGCTTCTTGAGATTTTCAGCATGTCAATATGATCCAAGGGAATCTTACTTGTTTTAAATTAGATGTGTGTGGTTGATTATTTGTATTAATAATAACAGTATGTGTAAAGGAAGCTGGAAATATGTCAATGTGAAATTTTTATTTGAAATAACAGTTCTGCAGGAATATTCTTAAAGAACAATAGCCGAAGTGTTGGAAGAGGCCTGGCAGGCTAAAGTGAGTGTGCGGTATGCTTTTGTAACTGCTTGAGATCAGAGCTGATGGTTTTGCTCTTGTTATTATTGTTTGAGGTTAAGGTAACTCACATGTGTTTACTTTGTATAATCCAACTATAAAAACTATACTCTTAAACTATC